GGTTTTCAGTAAAAGCCAAAACTTTTGCATTATGACCAACAGCAGTGCAACGTTTTGGCCATCCTTGGCCTCAGTACGTTTATATAAAACAAAGAACAACCAAAAAGAGAAATGCAAAGTGAGGCAGACTCCCTTAGGCAAGACTTTTTAAAGCTTCTCCACAATAAATACAAGCAACTCAGCTGAACAGGACTTCCCCTCCTCGACTGGCAAATAATTAAAATTGTGTGCAAACCTTTTGGATTATATACACATATATATACACAAATTCGTGCAGAAAATAAACTAACAGAATATGGCATAAAGATTGTGTGGAAAACATAAACACAAATTAAATTCAAAGTGAGCGCAATGAGTAAAATAGCTCAAATAAAAAACGAGGACAGAAAATAAAACAGCGGAAAGCAAAAATTTAATTCTGCTCATGCCCAAGCACGAAACAAGAAAAATATAAAATCAGAAAAGAAAAGCGGAGTCGGAGGGATTTGGGTAAGTTGCTAAGGCCGCAGGCCAATTTTTGTGCGAAAACGATGGGTCGGTTGGCTGTGGGTGGTGGGCGGTGGGCGTGGCCGTCACACAAATTTTTAGTTAATTAAAACTAAAAGTGAAAACGCGCAAATTGCGGGTAATAAAAGCGCTTAAAGCGACACGAGGGACACTAGAGGGTAAAAGGGGAAATGAGTGGAAGCGAAAAGAAGCGGGCAGTGTTGACTAAATGCAAATAACGATATACAACCAAAAGACAAATATAACAGTGGGTAAAAGAAAGGAAATAGGAAATAAAATAAATTTTATATTAATGCCTAAAAATGATAAGAATTACTCCAACTAGAATATTATTATAATATTAAGCAATTGGAAAACAGCAGCATGAAATTAAATATTTAAACTGGACCTCATTTGGCAGATAACTTTATCCAATAATCATTCTTAAAATACCAGTAGACATCTATTTATTTATTTATTTATTATTAAATATAGAGAAGTTTGCAAAACTAGACTAACTTAGTTGCTAAAGCGCTGGCAACAAGGCCTTCGGCTTTCAGGTTAATGATATGATATATATTTATTAGTGTATTTACATATTGTAGACATTTATTTTTACAGTGTAAGGGCGAACTGAAATTTGTTGAAATAAATAGGAAAATATGCAGGCTGCTGTAGACGCAAAAAAGAATGATCCAAAAAAAGGAGAAAAGAGCGAGACCGAAAAACAAATGCAATTTACAATGCTAACACAAAATTTGGGTGAGGAACCGTAGAAAAAACTAAGAAGAAAGCAGCAACGAAATAGGAAAAAATATTTTTTGAGGTAAAACGGACTGCATAAATAAAAAAATTCGTTGCTAAGGAAAAGCTTGTGCGAAAAAAGTGCCATGCGAGAAGGGAAAACGAGTTGGGGAAATGCGTATATAGGGGATGGGGGTAGAAAATGCGAGTTCTCGCTTTGTTTAGTTGCTGAAAAGCTGGGCACAACACAATGGGGAAGTAAATGGGGAAAACTGGGAAAATGTGCAAAATGAGGCGCCGCAAAAAACAAGCCGACTATTTAACAAAAGGCAAAATGCAGGCAGAAACGAAGCGATCCCTGGAGGGGGGTTCTTTGTTGTGTTTAAGGTGACAAAGAATTAGCAGGACTACAATAGGATGTTTTCCCTCAAAAGGAAAGAAAGGGGAGATGCTAAACTTTTCCATTCAAAAATGATGGATGGTAAAGTTGGAAACAAATGCTATATATAAAATTATATATTTCACGCAATAAAATGACTTGTAAAGCTAACTAATTAGATTAAACAGGAGGTGTTCTTGATCTTGACACAGGAGTGGAACGGTATAATTATGATACAAAAATGCAGATTGACACAAGAAAAACGAATGGAAGGACCTGGAAAGAGTTTTTAGAGCACCTCTTTATTTAGCACATTTAAGATAGTAACCACATCTTATGAGAATTTTTAAATTCGTTTGGCTGACGATTTTTTATTTGTTTCTATTTTACTTTTACATTTCCATTTTCTATTGCTTTTTCCTCTCCTCTTTCTCGCTCTCATTTGCATGACAATTAGGTGCAAATGAGTTGAAACGCATGGCGCAAGGGAATCTGTGGAAATCCCAGTTTTAAAAAATGATTCCAATGGGGTGGTAATCCACCTACTCCAATTCGATATTCACCCGCTCTCTGAAATTGTTTATCTTTCCTTAAAAATTAGAGCAGCTTTTCCTTGCGTTTCCATGTTTATTTCAATTGCACTTGTCGTCCCAAGAAGTGTTCCTCTGAGGAGGGGTTGCCACATAATAAATTTCCTAAAAATAAAATATTGCGGAGGCAAAAACACTGCTAGAGGAAATTATGAAAAATGCCGAGTAAAGTGGCTGAACCAAAAAAAAATTATTATTAAAAATTAGCTCCACTAATTTGTGTGAAAATTGGGTCACAAAGTGCAGGGAAAGGGGCGAGTGCGGGGCGGCTTTTGGCAAACAGGGGCGTGGCAAAGGGGGGACAAGTCAATGAAGCCACAAGCGCTTAATTGTTTTAATGCTTTGAATTAATTGAATGTGCAAGAGGCAGTGCCTTCAATTTTCCCCACAGAAGCTGCAGCTGCGTTTGTTTACGCCCGCCAAAATGTTTGAAGTGGCGCCCGAGAAAATAGATGGTGTGGTGGGAAAGTTCGGGGGGTGGGCTGTGGGTGGGGTGGGGTGGGGTGATGGCCGTCGGTGAGGCAGAACGAATTCGAGTTAATAGACTGATTGCAAAAGTTGCAGCAACCACACAGGAAAAGCCAAGGGGAAAGGAAAAAGGCCAGGGAAATGGAGAATACTTCGGCGAAGTGAAAGTGTTGGGAATCGATTTGAAAAGCAAATAAAACTGACTGCTGCATGTTCAAGACCAAGGCGCCAAATAAAAGTGGGTGGGAAAACATAAGAAAATTGAGAAAATATATATAGAAGAGGGAGTGAAGTCGGGAAGATTATATATACGCGCTTGGGAGAGAAATCCAAGATAAGAGGAGTCCCACACTCGCTTTTATAATTAGATTCAATAATTGTTTATGCCCTAAATGTGAGTTAGCACATCGTTAAAACTGCAGAGGAAATCCTGAAGTAAATTTTAATGTTGACGCTAAGCGAATAAAAAATCAATAAATACTAAATAATACGCTAATTATTTTCATAGTACATCTCTGCAAAACTGTGACTTAATTATGGAATCCAGTTGTTCTTTGTTCAGTTAAGGGATTACTATGATTTACAGCCCAAACTAGCGAAGTGTATTCTGTTTAATTTATAATGGCATGTAAGTATTTATGAAAATGAATCAACCATTTATTATCTTCGTATATCGACATTTATATATACATTTAGTTTTAATGCTAAGCTTTACAACTTGTGATATCCGTAATATATATATATTATTGTTATTCGTTTAACGTTAGGTAAAAAAAATCAGTTCACAAATATTTTAAAATCTTCTTGAACAACCAGAGCAACATGTTGGAGCCAGCACAAGTTCTGTAAATGGCAATAATTTAAAAGCCGCTTTATTAAGTAATAGTTTAAATATATAGTTTAAAAAAGAATAATACTGAGAGGTAAGGAGAAGATCGGCATTTTTCAACAAATACCCATTTATTTTGTAAACTTTGCATTGCAGCAACGTTTGATCTCATAAATTCCAATTGAATCTGAACAATTATCCAGGCAATTAATAATAACAAAAAACAGCCTAATCGGCTTCAAGAGATCTGAATGGAACGTGCCGAGCAGCCACAATTAAAACAAATTAATTTGTATGCCAAGTGGCAAATTCTGCTGGCACCAAATAAATGTAATGAGGGCGAGGAATCGGAATCAGTGTTCTCTAGTAGAAATAAAAAGTGCAACCCTTTTGACTAAATCCAAACTATTTCGAATGTGGGCTCATTATTAGTCTTTAAGCTACACGATTTAAGCGTATCCACCTATTGCACTTTGCAGTAATCAAATTACACAGAAATGCGTGTTTTACATGCATAATAAAATTACATAGAAAACAGATGCTAGAATTTGCCCATTTCAAGCTGATTGACGTTGAACGTTGCTGTCAATTAATTTATTATAAATAAATCCGTTCTGTTTTTTTATTGCAAGCTTGATGCTTAGGTGAATAATAATATGGAAATGTCCACCTTTTCAAATGCTCTTGCAACTATTTTTCATCCTATTAAACCTTTTTTTATAAAAATGCATAAAAACATTACATAAAAAAACCAGGGGATAGAATAAGCCCATTTCAAGTTCTTTGATGTTGAAAGTTGCTGTCAATTAATTTATTATAAATAAATCCGTTCTGTTCTTTTATTGCAAGCTCGATGCTTAGGTGAATAACAATATGGAAATTTCCACCTTTTCATATGATATTGTAACTATTTCTCATTTTATTAGAAACACATATTAGTTAATTCAGTTAGTGGTAGTACTTCATATTTCCTAAAAAAAAAGTTTACCAGATACAATTAGGAGCAATAAGGGTCTTTTGTTTTTAAACTGAACAGAATACATGTTAATTTAATAGACAACATTTTTCTAGACTTTCAATTTACCTATGCCCTATATAATAAAAATATTATAATACATTATGTATACCAATTTATTCGACTAATTAAAATTCTTAAAATCAAGACCAAGTATGCATCTATTCTGATTTTGAACAATTTTACATAATATTTATTTTTAATTCAGCTTAAGACCATATTCAAAAATTAACGAAATATTTACAACTTTGATAAGCAGCAAATGATTTTCTATCCTTTAATAAGATTGCAAAACCAATAAATATTTACGTATTAATAAATAAATAATCATAGCCATAGATATTTCCGAAAATGTGAATAGATTTCTAAGATTTAATTTATGCCGAAAGCATGTCAAAATTCCCCAGAATTCTTTCCTGGTACCGAACCCCAACTAACTTCCTGCTTTGTGTCTAACCCATTAAATGGAATCCCATTGGATTCACTCACATTATTATCCTCCGATTTGGTATCATTGGGTTTCGTTGTCGACGTCTTCGTTGTCGTTGTCGTTGTCAGCAGTGGTTGCTGCTGTTGTCGCTCCGCCAGCAACTGCAATTGATGTTGCTCCTTCATCCGCCGATGTGCAATTTCGATCTGTTGCCATTGCCGCGGGGAGAAGCGCCCCTCATCGCCGGTTTGAATGGTGTGCAACTCGAGATCTTCGTTCTCGTACTCGTTGTAGTGGGATCTGCGCCTAACCAAAGTCTTGGCCTTGTCATCGCCGAAACTCGCTGTCTGTCTAATGGGCTCCTTAGCCAACTCCATAGGCTGAGATTTATGCTGATGATGACGCACTGGTCGGCTCTGCGGCTCTTCTTGCAGATGCTGCTGCAGTTGCAGTTGCAATTGCTGCTCCCACGCCATCTGATGTTCCTGCTGCCGCAGATGATGTTGCTTGTGTCTCAGCCGCAAATCCTCCTGCGTTCTGGCTGAACTTTTATCACGTTCTGGTCCGAAGTCATCAGACAACACCTTCTGCCGGCCATTATTCTGGAGATTGGCCAGGGCAAATTTAGAAAAATTAGGGCAAGATGCAGGGTATTTAACTGCATTTTGTTTAATTACTTTATTCCTTAGGCTTTTAATTGATTGCGGCTTTTTAATTAATTTCCTTACACTCGTTTTCGTTTATTTTTTGGGATCCCTCTTTTCCAAACTGTGCTTGTTAAAGTATTTTTCGATTAATTTCAAATTAGCTGCGACTGCCTTAATTAATTAGAGGTCTTGTAATTAATGGTTTTACACTTTTTGTAATTTTTTTAGACTTTACAACCGACACTTGAAAAATGTGGAAATGTTTTCGGAGAATCTAGGAGATTTTCTTAGCTTGCTTAAAACATTTTTCGGTTGTTATTAATGTGACAAGCATGGCATAAATCATAAGCTAACCGAAAGTGTGTCACGCATTTTTTGTGAATGAAAAAAGCCGCTTTGTGAATCATTTGGCTTTAATTGGAGGCCAAGAGAATACAAGCACACCGACGCAGAGGAAATCGGCTAGACAAACAATTGATTGCCAAATGCCTACCAATTTTTTGGAGCAAGTTCAAGAAAATGATGGGGGAAAACTCAGAGGCACGCGTGCCGCCTGTTGGCCATTTCACAATCCACAAAGCCGCACCGATTCGGATACAAGTGCGCAACAGACGCACGCACAGATACACACAGGTACACACACGACACTTGAGATGGCGAACGAACCGCCGACCAGAGTGATAGACCGTCGAATGCCTTGCAGTCGAGCCGCTTCGCTGAAAATGTTCGAAATTCGAGAAAACGCTCGCAACATATGTTGCGCCGGATTACACTGGCAACATTTCCCTTCGTTCCACCTTGTGGATGGTAAACAGAGAACAGCTGACCGGCTGGCAGCAACATAAACAAAGGCGCCGCCAGAGAGCCGAAAGAGAGCACTGCGCACGTGTGAGTGCAGCAGCCACTCGCAACATGTTGCCGCTGCATCTGCAACATGCGGCCACCGTGGGTGAACCACGCACATATTTACACCCATTCTCGAAAATTGCACTTTTTGATTGTTTGTTCAACTAATTCTAGTGCACCGAACTAGTTCTCTTCCAAAGATTAACATTCTCAAGCAGCTGGAGATGGAAAGATTAGAATGGTTTTCGGAGAAGACTTTGATGTTTAGCGGGAGGCTGCCCAGCTAAGTGGGTGCAACTATTAAGGTGCAATCTGCTCAACTGTACCAACAAATGAACTTTTACAAAACTCAAACCAATTAATAATAGTAGCTAGAAGCCCTGTGATGTTAATTATGAATTTTTTTTATTAAACTGTTTGTTTTTTTAAATACGTTAGCATGCTATATTGAGAAATATGTAACTTTAACAATATTTGGCAAGAAAAAAAGAGCAAAAGTTTAGTTTTGTCAAATGAAATTACTTTGTTGAATTCGCAATTCGTCAACATTTTATAGTATGCCTGTTTTAAATAACTATGTCACAAGTAAAGAAGAAGAAAGACCAACGTCCTTAAACGACTTATACGTCGAAATAGTATAGTAACAGATTAACGAAATAATATCCAAAAGTTACTTTTGTCAATATATTTTATTGTTTTGTTTTTAAAGCTTACTGATGTAAGACCTTATAGCCCTTGAGATTCCCCAATTTTTAAAATATTTTCTTACAAATATAAAAATAAATTATTAATAAAAATTATTTAATAAAAATCAAAACATAAATAAAACGTTTTAACAAGTATGTTAGGGCTAAAATCAAAAAGAAGCTAATAAGTTGTATTTTATCATACTGCGTTATCAAAGGTTCACCCCAAAAACAAAAAACAAATTATTTTCTTATAGATGGTTTCTTATGACTAAAAGTTCAATATAATCTTATTTTTCATCAAGTTTCAAGTTTCACGGTGTAACTAAAATAATAAAAATCAATAATAATTAAACTTTAACCATTGTCTATGTCTATGGAACAAGCCATTAAAGTTGAAACCTGTTTTTACACAACCCTTTATGAGTCTAAAACGACTCAAAAAATTAAACACATTTTTTAATTCTCAAAAAATTTGGCATCCTCTAATCAAGAAAGAAGCTAAAAATGTTTCTAAGGACACATCGAGATAAGGTAATTTTTACGATTTCAAAAATTCATTTTCAATTACATAAAAATCAGACAAAAGTGAAAATATAAATTGTTTTAAAGTTTTTAAACCGAGATAATAGTGGTTTTATAGAAGAGTAAATTTTGTTAAATGTTCAGTGTAGTATAAAATATGGCCATATTTGGTAGAGAATTCCAAAAACAACAAATTTCTTATCAAATAAGTTTTCGATCATTTGTTTTTGGAATGTTTTACACAATTAGTTTTTCAAAGTAGAAATGGGCGGGCAGGCAGACATGGTAAAATCAACTCGTTGCAAACTTCGGATTAAAATTGTAACAAAATCTGCTTTATTTACTTTAAACTTTTCCACCTCTCCCACACTCCCCAAGTTATTTCGTGTGTCTAGAACGCACTGTAGTTTACAGGAATTAGCTCAGACATTCCATTGTCAACCAGAATGGGAAAGGGGTATCTTTGGGTCCTTGAAACATCCTGGGATTTGGCCTGACACTCGGCACCTCCGCAACCTGGGATTTTGGCACCTGCCGCTTTGGTAGATGCCTGGGATTAGGTCTCTGTCACGTTGATGATGACCCTCCCATTGTGTGATGCACTTTTCGCAGTTGTTGTTGTCAGCAAGTGGGCCTGGTGGATGATTGATGGACTCCACAGGGCATTCCAACTGGCGAGCTGCGGGCACGCATCATAATCCCCAGAATTCACCTGCCCACTGCCCTCCCCATGGAATACGATCATGATGATGATGAGGCCGTGGCAGAGGTGTTGCCCACTTGCACTTAATTGCATGTTTGGTCAGGCGAATCAACGCCCAGGCCGGAAAACCGCCAAAGTCAAAGCCGAAAAACGCCTCTGGAATGCGCAGCCCACTATTGCCCTCTTCAGATGTCTCCCCGCTCATTTACACTGGGAAAAATTTATTATAAACACTTTGCATATGGTCACAGATCAGGAAAACATGTTCCTAACATTATTAGTTCCCATTTTAATTTTTGCATATTTTAGAAGAAAATAAAACCTCCAAACCCTACATTTTTGTTTTAGGATCGATTAATTCGTTTTATATTTATTGTACTTACATATCACACTCATCTTAAGTTTTTAAAGTGGTCTAATGGCGTTATCTTTTTATTGCTTGTTCTGGCACCAATTTTATAAATATTTGGAATTTGTCGTGGTACCTGAAATTTCGCTTAGTGCAATCTCCAAGAAAGGGGGAACCCCCGCAGTGTGGCGATAGCGGCCTGCGTGGAAATTTATGTGGCCAGTTGGCCACGGCTAGAAGACTTCATGGCTCACGGGGAAGTGGTTCAGGGGTGGATAGTATGGTATTGCTGTTAGTGCTCCGCTCCTGCTGTTGCTGCATAATTGATAAATGTTTACAAATTATTATGTTGCACATACAGCAGTGGTGCCAGCAGCCACTACTCCATGGAGCCCACCCAGGCGAGGATGCCCCACCCAATCCCCTTTCTCGCCTAGGAAACTCGTGTGGTGATTTTGTTGTGCTTCGGAGCGGGCGCAGAATTTGTTTTACTCTACTCTTTATTACCTTACAATACCCTTGCAATAAGAGTATTTAATGAGCATAAAAGTAAAATAAAAAGTTTTTAGTTTATCTGAAACATTTTAATAAATACGTGGTACTAATAGTTTTCCATCGCTTGCCAATATATTTATATAAGTATATACCCATAAAATAAGTTATTTAACAAAATGTTGTTTATATAGTAGTACATTTTTCTTAATTTTCCATAGCAACAATTTTATTTATATTTATAGTTCCAGTATCAATGAGTGACCGACTTTTTCCATATCTCGTCTGTGTTTTTTATTTTTCTTCGGCAATGTTGCCGCTTTTCTCACGACGAGGCGCCAACTGCATTTTCATTTAATGCCTGCTGTAGCCGCTAATTAAAATGAATCCACGTAGACAGGCAGGCAGAAAAGGAAAACCCAAAGGTAAAAGGGGAGTCTGTTCCATTAGCTGCGACTCCTATTGTGTAATGGATCGGGGGGCTATAAAATCGTTGGCAAAATAATTTTCCATCGATGCTTGGCTTTTCCACATTGCCCTTGGCATTAGCTTTTGTTTTACTTGGCTACACTTTTTTGTATTTCGATTCACATTTACCGCATTCAATTTGCCTAAGTTGCCATTCGGATTTCGAGGGGAATTACACGGGCAGCAGCTGCCGAAAGAAATGAAATCGAATTCAATACAAAATGCAAATCAGGCAGAGGGAACCGCAAACGAGATGTGGCATGGGAAATGAGACGCCACCGATATCATAAAAATCAAATTTGAAATTGATAGGGAGGAATCAAAAGGGAGGATGTGTAACTCAATTTGGAATGGAAACCAAATCGAGAACAAAGTCATCCCCTAATTGAGATGAGCTCCTCTGAATGCCAAAGGTTCCCACTTTCTGACAGCCACTTCCTGGTGATTATTGGAAATAGTTTACCCACCAACAATGCTGATCTATGACACTTTCCCAGTCTTTTTCGGGGCAGCAACTTTTCAATGCCCTAAACCGCTTAGCCTGAAAATAATGAGGGGGAAGGCAAATTTACTCAAGATAAAACTGCCACGGCCCAAGGCCAAAAACCCTAACCAGAGAAACAAAAGGGTATCTAACCCCAGTTAAAGAGCAACGCAATTTCCGGTGCCCCCCGGGGTCAAAGACAGAGATAGCAACAGAGGGAGAAAGAGAAAGAGAGCAGTCAGCATTCAAATATTTGTCACCATCAAATGACATCTGTTTGTCGCTGGCTTTTATTTTGAAGGCCAACCAAAAGTGTAGTCAAAGGTCAGTGCTTGACATATGAAGACAGTACGTTTCTAAATTGTAGGGCGTTTAATCACACACGTAACAATACCATGGTATAATTAGGGAATACATTTGTGATAACAAAAGTTCGTTGTTCTGTAAAATAATTATGTCTAAGCGCCTTTGTATATGAAATACTAAGGTGCGTTTTCCATTATAATCGTCTATTCTAGGTACACCCAATAAAATAGCTCATAAATTAAATTAAAAATTCGATGTGTATATGTATGTATAAAGTATACGTATTAATTCAAAAGGTACTATTTAAAACAAGAAAGGAAAGCTAACTTCGGGCGGAGCCGAAGTTGATATACCCTTGCAGAATACTCTGTAAATTATATTCTCCAAAATTATTCATATAATGCATTCTTAATACTCATAAAAAATCCCAACTTCCTAACTTTACAAACACGAAAGTTATGGCATTTCCGATCAATCAGTTATATGGCAGCTATAGGATATAGTCGGCCGATCCTTATGAAATTTGGTAGGTCGGATTGATTGGCCAAATATAAAACCCATAGAAAATCCCAACTTCCTAACTTTACAAACACGAAAGTTATGGCATTTCCGATCAATCAGTTATATGGCAGCTATAGGATATAGTCGGCCGATCCTTATGAAATTTGGTAGGTCGGATTGATTGGCCAAATATAAAACCCATAGAAAATCTCAACTTCCTAACTTTACAAACACGAAAGTTATGGCATTTCCGATCAATCAGTTATATGGCAGCTATAGGATATAGTCGGCCGATCCCGGCCGTTCCGACTTATATA